AAATAAAATTTTTAAATTACCTAAATTTATTTTTTATTTTATAATTGTGATACGATAAAGTTGGATCTTGTTAAAAATATTCTGATACAAAATAGCAAAAAATAAATTTATTTTGAAGTTAAAAATTTCAAACTTTTTAATTTTTCTTATTTTTATTTTATACATTTAATTTATAAATTTTAAAGAACTATTTACATACACTCCGTCAAGAAAGTTTAAGCACCCACAAACTTTTGTAAAAAAACAAATAATCCCTAAACATTGTTTTAATTTTTCCCCCATTAGGATTTCCCCAAAGTAAAAACATCGTTTTTGGGCTTCTCTCATTATGGCATATCCGCATGAAAACATGCACTTGCTTCTCTTTCGCCGCTAAAATTTCTAAAATTTCAACATAAACAAAAATTTTGCGACAGTTTTTGCAAAATTTTAAAGAAAGCTAAAAATTTGCATAATTACATATATTTTGCTTAAAAATATACCGTAAATGCTCGAATAATTACCCTCTCTTTTTCCTACACAAATTTCAAGAATAAATATTGAAAATATCATTATTATTTTTAATTATTGAAACATTTTAAGACATAATATCAAAAAAATAACTCAATTTCCTCCTCGATCTATTTAGATATACTCCAAATTTAGCACCTCTTCATGATTAATTACCCCCTCCAGCGTTAGGTAGAAATAATAATTACCCAGGGTAATTATTCGAGCATATACGGTATATTTATTAGGTAAAATTTTAATAAACATTTGTGTATACATATTTTTATTTTCTAAAAAATTAGAAATATTTAGAAAAAAATTAAGAAAAATATTTAAAAATCACATATCTCAAAATGTTAATTAAAATTAATAATTTTAGATATTCTTGTGTTATATCTCCGCAATCTCCTCTTTCAAAAGCTCTTGAAAAGACCTATCTTTTTCCCAAATGGGAGGATCAAGTCTGATCACCCATTAAGAAGTTACAAGACGATAACTGTGAAAAACAACGATTTCTTGCAATTTTCGAGTTGTAACCTTTTACTGAACAATCAAATTTGATCCATGCAGTTGGAAGAGGGTAGCACTTATCAAGGGCTTTCGAATGATATAAGAGCTAGACGGATTTGATCAAGTGTATAAAAGTTATAGCCGATCAAATTAGGAAAAAGGAGAAGAAAAGGAAAATGCTGGAGCATAACACATGAGTACCTAAGTAATTTTATAAGTATATTACAATCTCCAATTTAAGTACAACTTCCAATTCATTCATTTTTAATCACCAATGCATTCCTCATCCTCTTCATCACCCAAATAATCAGCAGCTTCCAATTCAGTTAACCCTCTTTCTGACATTGTTGTTTGCAGAAAAGAAGCAATCTCTGGATTTATTGCTACATCAATAGAGCGTTTTCCCTGCGAATTTTTTATTTGTAAATTAGCTCCAGAATCGACAAGTAATTGGACACATTCAATTCGACCTTTGGAGGAAGCAGCATGTAGAGGGGTATCACCCAACTTGTTCTAGTAAATAAAAAATGGGAAAAAATTTAAAAATTGGGTGCACACCTGTGCGGATATGGCAACATTCGAAATTGTCAATAAAATTTCCAAAATATCAAAATGTCCCGTATAAGCAGCCCAATGTAATGCTGTAGAAGAGGATCGATCTAGGCTATTTACGGATACCTGAATTCAAAAATAGACTTCCATTTTTAGCTGGGAATACCTTATTTTCCAAACATTCCCTTAAAAAATTACAATCCCCCATTTTGGCAGCTTCGTGTAAAGGGAATTCGATAAGCTCCAATTTTGTTTCAACAATTTCCTTTTTGTAGAGTTCTGACAATGATGAACCCTTTTGGGGGCATTTTAATTCAAAAGCATCCCCTTTTGTTTCGCGTAAATAAACAATATCATCAACAGTTAATGATAGTGGATTATACTGAAAAAATGTTTGATAATTTTTTTTTATTTTAAGGCAGAGTTCAAAGTTAACTTAAGCAACGATGATTAAAAAACGAAACCACTTAATGATAATACCATATCACTATATTTCCAAGGGATGTCATAATGGGTTCGGTTCGGCAACCAAAATCAAAATAAAGACTGGGTGAGTATGAAAAAATTCCGGTACTTTTCCGTTTTGTTACACCCCCCTATATTAATGCTCAAAATGTCACATATAGGGTAATTAAAGGTGCTGAGTCGAACGGTACCCTTCTTTTTTCCAGGAGATGTCTGTGAACCGAGATAAAGGGCTCGAAATGGTCAAAAACCATTGGGCCATTTTGGGGTAAAAATTCAAATGTGCACATAATAACTCATTCGAAAGAGCTCGATGAGCTGAGTTGGATGACACCAAAATCACCGTCTTCGAACAAGTTTGGACCGAGTTACGATACAAAAAATTGTGTGGTTCTTCAATTTTCAGGGACCTGAATCTCGGTCAAATCAAATCAGATTTCGTTGAACTTGGTGTCTTATGACTCAGCTCCATGAGCTCTTTCGAATGGGGTATTATTTGTATATTCGAATTTTTACCCCAAAAATGAACTTAATCCCCCCTATGGTTTTTGACCATTTCGAGCCCTATATCTCGGTCCACAGACATCTCCTGGGAAAAAGAAAGGTACCGTTCGACTCAGCAATTTTATTACCTTATATGTGACATTTTGAGCATTAATATACATATGGGGGTGTAACAAAACGGAAAAGTACCAAAATTCCTCATAGGGTTCGGAGATATGAAAAAACTACTTCTAACCAGAGCTGCGTCGAAATTTCGATTTCCGAATTTCGAAGATTTTTTTATTTTGACGCAGCTCTGCTCCTAACACAACAAAAAGCTTCATTTTCAATTTAACTCTAACAAAGTATCCCTATTCCTGTTCAAAAAATCCCATAATTTTGTAAAAATACGAATAACCTCATCTTGTAAAAAATTATCAATCACTCGGTAAACACGTATCCGACCAGGTTTTGGCGGTGGTGCAATTAAAGGCATAATTATTTTTGTTACTAAAATATTTTTTAAGTGACAGAATTTTAAAATATAAAAATCAAAATTAAAAGATTTAAAAAGTAGAAAAAAAATTAAATTCTGATGCTAAATTTATTTCTATGAAAAACATGAAAAAACAAACATTTTTAGAAAATGTTAGGTAATTTTAAGGTATGTTTAAAGAAGATTGAAAAATTCTTTGGTAAATGTTTACAAAGTGAATGTTGCGTCGAAAACTTTTGGAAATTAAAACTTGCAAATCCATGAAAGAACACTATTTTTTTTTAAATAGGAGAGGCAAATAATTATTTTACGAGGTTAATTAATGAATTATTTAAATAAATTCCCTGTTTACTTAACAAGTTTTAAATTCGAAAGTTTCCAAAAAAATATAAACAGACTAGAATTTAAAAACCATAAAAACTCTTTTGTAGAACATTTTTAATTAAAAACAATCACTGTCAACAACTCTACATTCATTTACTCTTCCAGCCAAAAAACTTCTCCCTTCATTATCTCTTGTCCACCCCAATTCTTCATCATTTGTTTGAGAATTTTTTTTAACTTTTTGTTCCAAAATTGGTTTAAAAGTAATAGACAAAGGGGATAATTGTTCTTCTAAAGGTAATAATTGATTTAATGATTCTGCACAACGAGACAATTCTTTGAATAAAATCTGAAAATAAAAATAAAATTTTTTTTTAATTCTGTTGATGTTTTAATCGTGTCGGGCTAATTCAAGGAACGGACAAGACAATGAACGACAAGTCAAGGAAAAGACAAATCAAGGAACGACCATCTTATGGAACTACTAAATCATGGAATATTTTTAAAAATCTGAATATTTTCAATAAATATTCTAAAAAATTTAGAATAGGTATTCTACAAAACAGAATTAAAAAAATTCTGATTTTTAAAATATTGCATGATTTGTTTGTTCCTTGACTTGTCGTTGCTTGGTTTGTTTGTTTCGTGATTTGGAATTCCTTGAGTTGCCCCTCACCCGTTTTAATATGTAAAAGTAAGGAAAATCAAAGTTTAAAATATCAGATCAAAAATAAAATTAGAGGATTAGTCGAAAAATCGGCAATATTGAACCTGACAAACCCCATTTTTTCCTCCCCATGTTTATTCCTATATATCTGCAGAACGGTCAATTTTTCTTTCTTCCATACAAGGGGGAATAAAAATTAATTTTTTTGATTGCTTGTAGGCAAAATTAGAAAAGCAATTGGAATGGACGAAACGAAGGTGTCTGACTAGTCTGCAAATAAATAGGAAAAAACTTGGGGAGGAAAAATGGAGTCTGTCAGATTTAATATTACCAAAAAATCTGTTGGCCAAATTAGCCCCCCACCCCTGAAAATAATCCTGGCTACGGGCCTGTATAAAATCTAAAAGTGTTTCCACGGGAATATTTTGGTTAAAAATTAACCACTTAATAAATTACCAATTCTTATTTTAAAATTTTAAAATTCGAAGAAACCTGTGCAGTATCAATCTGTTCAGATATAACAACAACTTTCTTCAATTCATTTCCCAAAATGTCTAATTTTTTATTACTATTTGTTACTTTCTTTACCAAAGACAAAGCTAATTGGTCAATCTTTTAAAATAATTTTTAAATTAATTAGTAAAAATTTAAAAATACTTATCGATTATCCCAACTCATTTTTGTGGACTATTTTTAGCTATTCCACAACCTAGCAAGACAGAAAAGAAAATGAAAAATTGGGGATGACTAATAATTTCTGCTTAATAAAAAAGAAAACAAATCCGCAACAAAAAGTCCGCAAACTAGAAGTCGGAAGAATCATATTTGGGGATCCCGCATTCGGGAGTAATTTTTAAAAAAGTGTGCGGGGGTAAATCCCGCGGGAATAATCCCTCACTCCCACAAATCGAAAAAAAGTGCGGGACAGCGGGAGCGGTACCCCGCAAAATCCCGCGCGGGATCCCGCCCCGCACCGACCTCTACCGCAAACACGGACAGGATTAACCAATAAATTTACAAAAAAACCTCAACAATATGTGCAAATATTCTTCCTTGTTCTGTCGTGACTGCTTCAGTACATTCCCGAAAATGTTGTTGTAATCGCTGAAGAAATCTATAAATTGGACGAGGGTCAATTTTCAAGAGAATTTCGGGTAGATCTCGATAACCAGGCAAAACACCTTGCATTAATGGAAGGAAATGAGGGATTTCCTGTTAATTTTTGAGAGAATTAAAAACGTAGCTTAATTTAAAACCTTAATCCTCCTCAAATCCAATTCGGCATTCACATCGCTAATTGAGGCTGAAGTTGATGCTCCGTCATTTACAACAACAATACTTGTCGACAACAGACTTTTTGTCGAATTCCCTTAAATTAGAATAAATTTTAATGAAAAAATAAATTAGGTTTTAGAAACTTTTTCGAGCTAAAAATGAGAAGGAAGCAGGAACGCCCATCGAGATTGTTGGAGAATTTAATTCGGCCTAACTACAGTTTCCGTACCAGGCTCAGAATTGGACGATTTATATGTCATTCGAAAGAGCTCGTCGAGCTGAGTCGAACGACACCAAAATTATTCAGCGGAAAAAATTCTGAGCCGAGTTACAGGCCCCCGAAAATCGAAAAACCATAGGGGGGACCAAGCTGATTTTTGGGGTGAAAAATTCGAATATGCAATTAATAGCTCATTTGAAAGAGCTCTTCAAGCCGAGTCGAATGACACCCAAATCGCCGTGATTGGTCAAGTTTGTTCAAAGTTATGACAGAAAAAACAAACAACGGAAACCTATGGGGCGTCGGCGAGGCGCTTGTGCAAAACTCCGCGCTTCGCGCGGAGTTTTGCGGCACGCGCCTCGCGGGGAGTCTACGGGCTCTGGGTCTGGGCTCGTAACTTAATCCTATTCCAATTATCGCTGTGATGGGCATGCCCAGCTTCCTCCGCAGCAGCAAGAACATCCACGGAGAACAAAGGTAAGGAGCTAAAACAAACGAGCATAACTTTGTCAAATCAAGTCTGATTTCATTGATTTTGGTGTCATTCGACTCAGCTCGATGAGCTCTTTCGAATGAGGTATAATTTGCATATTCGAATTTTTCACCCCCAGAAAACAGCTTGGTCCCCCCTATGGTTTTTTGAACTTTAGTGGTCTGTAACTCGGCTCAGAATTTTTTCCGCTGAAAAATTTTGGTGTCATTCGACTCAGCTCGACGAGCTCTTTCGAATGACATATAAATCGTTCAATTCTGAGCCTGGTACGGAAACTGTAGTTTAGCCTTTAATTCTTTACTGCCTTGACTTCGACTGCGAACGCCACTTTGATCATTTCCCATATTTTTAAATTAAATATAAGCAGATAGAATTTATTTAGATCTAACGTTAAAAAACTAAATTGAAATAAAAAAACAAAAAAATGTTTTTACTTGTTAGTAGCAAAAGTGGTGTTTTTAGCCTTATTGGCAAAATTAGTCGTTGGCAATCTGTCGAGTAAAAGACGATTTAGTCGGAAGAGCCTGTTGAGCGTGGCCGATTGAGCGTAAGTACAATTGGATGTGGGCCGTTTGAGAGTGCCAGTTGCGCGTGCCTTGTTAATTGGCCAGTTGAGCGTGCAACGCGGAATTTTGTTTCAAAGATGGAAAAGTTGTTCCAGAAAAATAAAGCAGTAAAATGATTTGGGGAGAAAGGAAATGGAGGCTTTTATAGTAAAGCGTTGCCAGTTGAATTAGGTTTTAAGGGTAAGAAGATAGTATAAAAGCAGGGTATTTTGGTTGCTTAAAAATAGACCAAGTCAGTCATTGCTAGGAATCAAAATTCAATTGCCAACCGCTTCTGGGAGTCAACGTTCAAGCGCAAGGTCGGCCGCTGCATGAAGTCAACATTCAGGTGCAAAGGAGTCAACGTTCCGGTGCAAGAGTCAACGTCATTGGCGACAGCTGCTAGGAGTCAAGGTCGTTGGCAACCTGTCAGTGAATCATCTAAAGAGTGCCGTTAATGTTGTGGACATATTCCGCACACTCTTGTTCCATCGAAAATGTGGCTTAATAGATCGTGCAGAGTTCCTCATAGATAGCAGATTGGGAGATTAGTTGAACGAGGAGCTGTTTTGTCAATTTCATGCAATTGAAGTTCGATTGGATAGAACGGAGCACGATTGACCTATTTGAATGGTGGAAGGCCTGCAAATGAAGATTAAATTTTTGCGGACATAGGTCCACAAAATTTGCCCTTCGGTCAATGCAACATTGCAAAATTAGAGAAAAATTGATAAACAGATCCACGAGCTCGTTGACACCCTCCCTCGAACATCTACGAAAAAAGAGAAGTTAAAAGATTAGCTTATGTTGAAGAAAGTCTACAAAAACAAGTGTTCATTTATTAAATAATGTTAAAAGTTTAACAATGATTCATAAATTTATTTTCACATTTTTATGAGATTTACAAACATTTTAATGTAATGTACATAAATGTTTGATCATTAAATTATTTAATTAAATTTTAATTAATTTTACTTTATACTTTCAAAAAAATATTTGGAATTAATTAATGATTATTATTTATTTATTTTTAATTATTTCTAATTTTCCTTCATTTCTTCAAGAATTTAGGTTTGCCCCAGCTAATTGGCTAGCCGGATTTGATGCCTATGGTTTGCTTAAATGTGTATTTTCTTAAAAACAATTGAGTTTAATATCCAAATCACATTTTTTCGATTTTAAGCAATCTTGTATTCTCTTAAAAATAGGAAGATTTTAAGCATATTTTCACAATATATATTTCATAAATTACTCAAATCTCGTCCCAAATCATAAAATTACTTAGAATAAATTTATTTATTTTAATCTTTATTTATTCTATAATTTCCCAGACCCAGTTCGTTGTGGTTTATCAATTCCATTTCCTTCCAATAAACGTTCCAAAAGGATGACGATATCAGAATTAAAAGTAAATTTAATTAAATAATTTTTCTAAAAACTTAAAAGTTTAATAGAATTTTCTTGAAATATTTTGTTAATTTTAAAAGGTATTAGGTGGAGAAGGAGTTCGTGAAGGTGAATATCCTTGGGCTGCTTATTTAATAACTCCAGTGGTGAGATGTACTGGAGTGCTTATCTCTAAACGTCATGTACTCACAGCTGCCCATTGCTTTAGGAAAAAAGTCGTTAATTTTTCATGTAAACTTGACAATAAGAATAGAAGAAAATGTTGCAAGTAATGAAATTAAATTTAAAAACAAAAGATTAAGTATCTATTAGGGTTCGGGGCCCGATTAGGTTCGAAAGATCGAATTGGGCATCAAATTTTGGCCCGAAAAAGACTCGGCCCGATTCGAGAAAAATTAGGCCTGGGACTTGGAGGCCCGATTCCTAACCCCAACCCTAGTATTTACCTACTATGTATTTTTGCTAAATTTATATAAATTTTTTATAAAATTAAAATTTTTTAAAGAAAGGGCGATGCCGTTGACATTAAAACGGTTAAATCAAAATATTTTGTTCATATTGGAAGTATTTGTGTTGGAGATAATTCAGTACTAAAGAATTGTAAATTACCTAAACATGCAATTAAATATACAATAAAAAAGTAATTTTAGTTGTTTAAAATTAAACAAAATATTTTTAAAAAATTATCTTTCAAAATTTAATTTTTCAACATTTAAGTGCCACATATCAACATTATTTTAAAAAATTTTGTGTTGGAAGTAATTATTTATTTAAATTTAATTTTTAAAATATTTATAATTTAAAAGGAGACTATGCAATAATAGAATTAGGGCACACTATTCCACATGATCAAAATAGTAATTTTGAAGATGATAGCAATGAGAAAGTAACAGTGCCAGCAAATATTGCTAATCATATTGTAATAATTTAATTATTTAACTTATAGAAAAGGAAATATTATTCCTAAAAACTAGAGAGCGAGCTGGATCTGGATCCAGACATTGATTTTTTTGGATCCAGAGTCCAGATCAAGGCATTTTTCAGAGTTACTTGATTTTTGCTTGACTAAAGGTCAAGAATCTGGTTAAGGTACCCAACCAAAATCCTTGTCAAGATTTACTAAAAACTGAATTAATAAGAGCAGATTTGAGTTTACGAATTAAATTATTCATGATGAAAATATTGTTGGGGCAATTAATTCCAAAACTTTTAGGCATGATCTTTAAAAAAACAATTTTTGCTTGATTTTAGATTTTTAAGAATTATAATTAAAATTAGAATTAGCTAAATAAAAAATTTTTTTGTTAGAGATTATTTAATGAGAATTAACTATGCGAGAAATATTAAATTTAAATAATTTATTTAAATTAATTTAAAGTGTTTACTTCATTTGGATGAAAAAGTTAAACTTAATTGGACAGAGCTTGCATCGCCTGTTGTATTTGGATGGGGGCAATGTAATAATTGAAATAAATTAATTTTTATAAATTAAATTTTAAAATAGCTGTTAATTTTGACGGACAAGTAAAGTCTTCATCATTTCTACAAAAGGCTAAATTAACTTCTTTAATGAATCAAAACGATTGTAAAGACAATGTTATAAAATATTATGAAGATATTCTTTGTATAAAGTCTCCAGGAAATATAAGCACTTGCTCAGTTAAGTGTTGAAAAATAATTTTTTAATTGACTTGAAAGTCTGTTTACCTTTCCAATTTACCTTTCTTTACACCCATTATTTTTATTCAAAATTTGTTTTTGATTAAATTAATTGTCAAAAAATACAAATTAAAAAAACTTTTTTAAAGGGAGACAGTGGTGGAGGTTTGATTAGCCAATTTAGAGATTCACGAGGTATAAAACGATGGTTTCTTCTTGGTGTAACGTCGATGGGTCCGAATTGTAGTGTAATAATATCACAAAATAAAGAGAAAAATATTTTGGTAATTTAATTAATTTAAAATAAATTAATTTATTTTAAATTAAAAAGATGGACACAAATGCTTTTTATCATCAAAATGAAATTGATAAAATTATAGGAACCGAAGAAGGTGACCGAAAGAATTGGGAAAATCTAATTGGTTTTCATACTTTAGAATTTTGTTAATAAATTGAGAATTCTTTTAAAATAAAATAATTGAAAATAAGAATTAGATAATAATAAAAAGCTTGTTATCTTTAGTTTATAATTAAATTTAAATAAAAATTTAAATTTTAATAAATTTACTATCTGAGCTAGTCTAAAAAATAAATTTATTATTATTTACCATATTATTTTTTCAGAAGAATAAATATCAAGTAAGAAAATTGGCGAGAGATCTCTCACTAACGCTATTTTGAACATTTTCAATGTTTTTAACTCTTTAAATATATGAACATTATTATTTTTATTAATATTTAATTTAACAAACTATTTAATTAAATTTAACTAGGTAATTATTATTTAATTTTAATTTATTTTTCAAACCCATTTATTCATCATCCTCCCCACATTCAACATTTTGAGCCTTTGGTTTAGGTGATGGAAAAGGTTTAAATGTTGGACGATGTTTACGTGTTGGATGTGGACGTTTTGAAGGGTGTGGAGGGTGTGTTGGGTGTTTTGGATGTTTATGGTGGTCGT